GGTCATATCGACAAACTATTTGTCCTGTCGACAAAACAGTGCGTATCCGATAGGACCCCATTGTACGATCGCTTCCAATGTCTCGTCCACTTCGACCCGCGCTTCGATCAGTCAGTCGATGTACAGGGGTCAATCTGATGTCCCCAGTCATAATGTCCCTACGTTCCCAACTCCATAGGGTTGATATCAATATGTTCACTTGTCTATCCGTGGCGTTTTCTGAGCTGAAATTTCGTTTGTTTGGTAGGAACTACTTACATCATAAGGCTAGCCGTGAATTGTTGTTTGTTAAGAACCTGTCGTTTCCAAGAAATACGAAGATGATGTTCCTTCACTAGGCAGACTTGTATGGGTGCATACCTAGGTTCCCCATTACCGATGTTCCCCAATACCAATGTTCCCCGAAATCCCTACCAATATAACCTTAACCCTAACCCTAACCCTAACCCTACGATAAGGATTTGGGGGAACATCGATAGTGGGGAAGATTGGTATTGGGGAACATCGGGAAGATCCAAATTGTGTCAACGGTTTACGCGCAAAACGTGGGAGACGTCTGATCTACATTCAGAGAGATCTCGAAGGCTCGTATCGTTATGCACGTTTACGAGTCGGGGTAAGGAGCGCATTATTAAATGTATTCATTAAAGATAATTGTTTTCTCATATCCGGCTCCAATGTCTCTCATTTCCTGGAGGCGACAGGTCCTGCACGAATAACAGTTTACGGATAGCCCTATAATGTAAGTTGTTCCTAAGAAATAAATGTGATTTCAGCGCAGCAAACGCCACGGATGGAACAATGAAAATCTAAAGTCTGACGTTTGTGGAAGTGCTGCTACACGGAAACTTCATTTCCGCCACCGTTTTAGGCTTGATTTGCTAAGATCTTTATTCAAAATGCAATGAGACGTGACCTACCTAGAATACGGACATACGTTTCGGGAAAATGTGAGCTATTCCATCTATTTACAAGATACTCAATCTGCTATAACTTTGCAAGATCAACTTTGGCCACACCGTCAGCCGAGCAATTTAGAGAAAACGGGACGTTCATTTAAATTCTTCATTATCCTCACTCACAAATTGAACTGGCAAGTTAAAGGACTACATCCTCCGTGATTCAAAAACCTAAATATCGTTAATTTTGATGGGTGCACGTGTATAGTTGTATAACTGGCTTTTGGGGTCATCACGTGGGGTCTTTGTTAATAAAGATTCAAGTCCTGAATTCCATCAATTTTCCACTTTGTATATAATATAAATGCTCGGTCCCTGCGTTTCATTGGATTCTTAGCAACATGTATACGCCGAGATAGTGTGACGTCACCTCCCTATTTCACGCTCACTACCTTGACAATGGGTCGTATGTATAAAAACTAGTAAATCGAAGCAGCTTGTTTAATGAAATCAATTTACCTGCAAGGTAAAACATGCTGTCCAGCAAAAACGTTTGTAAAATCATGATGATTTTGCACACATCAAAATGTCATCCCGACATATTGAGGTATTTGTGACTGAGTGTGTCAAGAAGGCGCGTCACGGTGAGATCAGTTAAAAACGTGTTCTCAAACTCTTTCTGAAGGCTTTTACGAAACCTCTCAGAGCTTGACTCCACTAACCGAGCATAGCAAGCAACAAGAGTGACAAGATGGCAGCCAGCATAGCTCATTAGGCGGGAGACCAGCCGTATCATTCTACATATAGAAGAGTACCAGACTGCGGTAGCAACACGCTTTACGCACCATCAACAACAAAAAAGAAAATTCGCAAAGCCGGCCACCAACTACTCTTGGAGGGGAGTCTCTTGACTCTTTTTATTAAAGTCCACTTTACTGTTTATATCGAGTAAGGGGCCATTTTAATCTGTTTGATGAGTCATTTGACACCAACGACTCTGGTAGGGGAGTCAATTCAAATTGACTCCACATTATAGTCAACTTCCTCTTTATAAAAGTAAGGGATCATTGACTCTATAGCGAGTCATTTGACTTCGATATGGCTGTATGAGTGTACATAAATAGCTTCGTTCCTGGTCGGATGTTTCCCAGTCCCATTCACAGTGTCCAGTCCCCCAACTCGTTGACTCACAAAGTTGATTATCTTACCGCGCCTCCGTACGAACAATGCGCGCCTTTTGTTGAAGAAAGTGCTAGACTTGGTGGTAAGTTGTCATAGTCTTGCGTACATGGTAAAACGAACAAAGGCTAAATAACGCTTCTACTGAAACTTGAAACCATGCATGTTCGTAACGACAAAGACAAGAAGATGCAAAGTGGGTTTTCGTTCACGATTTCTTTTTCACAGTGTAGCCTGACAGCAGTTTATACATGTCGTTGACGTATTGAGAACTCCCCATGTAACATAATGAACGAGTCATCTTTTGCATAGCGGTGCGCGATTGGATCTTACCGCAAAAATGCACTGCATATGTATTGCACTGCTTGCATACATGAATAACGGTGCGAGATCTACCGTCGATTCGTTAGAATTGTCGCAACCCGGTCAATTACGTGCAAGTCTTTTACCAGCCGCGCCGCGCCGATGCCATGGATGGAGTTCGACTGAAGTTCACGGACAAAATACGACAATCTAACATCTTGTCTTTAAGTCTAACGACGCGCCGTCTACAGCGTACCGCTGAAAACCTTCGGCTGCTATGGGTGTGCTTTCTGCAGCCGGCTTACCAATAATATTGAACGGCCTAGAAACTGCCTGGAAGACAAAAAAGTAAGACACGAACGATTACATGTCTCCATTACAAAATGCCTACTGCATCTGTGTTTTTAATAGTTATGGTCTAGCTTCCAATCTTTCATCTATCTTCCAATGTCGAATCATTCAAGCTGGATGATTAATCTTTAAAAATATCATCTTCTGAAACTAAAGACAACTAACATCATTTTGAAACATTACTATTTTCTAGTTTGCCCCAACACAAGCTAACAACTATTATGTTAAGAACATACTCAGCTCCAGAGAAATTGCTGTCTTAAAATCCAAACTTCAAAAAACTGCCAATCCAAAAAAACTGCCAATTCCCTGTTTCTTGATTGGATATATGCGTGTTTGTACATGCAGACTTATTGTCTTCGCTTAATTCAATCAGGACACGATCGGTCAATAATTGCACCTCCTCTCCCTGATAATTCATGGACAAGAAAAACAAATGTTGTTTTTAATTTTTAAATAAGATGTTCTCTTCATATGCTTGTAAGCTGATGTGTTGTCTGCTGAAAACGTGCGTGCAAAAGGGGGCACCAATAACTTCCAGCCATGTGGAATTGTATTCGGTGACGAAATATAGTCTAAACATTCTAGGGAAATAGATGCAACACAAGCGTTTACGTCTACGTTTAAGTTGATTCAATGTACCAAATGACATATGGTTAATTTCGACAGATACAACAATAGCCTTCTCGTATTCGTTACCGATACCTTAAGTTATTTTTGTGGGGTTTCATATGTTTGTATTTCAACAAGTTTGAGCAACACTTAAAACAAAACTAATACCAGTTAGTATCAATTTAAAGTTACCCTACCTATAAATAATGAATGATGTGTTTGTCCTGTCGTTACCGAGTGAAATGATGCGGCAATATTATCATATCAATTACATATTCATTACCGATAGTGTTTGGAATTTAGTTTTACTTTCGTTGTATTTAAACTGTTGTTAATGCAGTCCTTGAAAAAGACACCTCTGTGTCCCATTTAACCCTATCATTTAACTTTCATTTTGCCAATTTTTAAGGCATGAGTTTGGTTAAACAGGGAGAATGACTCGACTAGTGACTACTGTGTGTCATGCGCCTCTTTTACAGGCAGTGAAGAGAGAGAGAATACGAGGAAAAAAATCATGCCTTATCTCAATAATTTTGACTCGCCTGGCGATCTTCTTATTTGAGGGCGGATTAAATACAACGAAAAAGTGACGTTTTCGCACATTCATCAGCAATTAATTAATATTGCAAAGGAAAACGGGGAAAAATCGCCATTGGTGTTTCAAAAAAAAACCCAGAAGACTTGACTTTTCCTTTCATTTTAATTCAAAGCGTTTGAAGCGTTTGTCTTGGGTGCTTGGGCAAGGCGCTTTGTCACTCATTGCTTCTCTCCACCCAGGAGTAAATGGGTACCTGTGAGGGCAGAGATGGTTATTGTGCATGGATAATTTAGCTTCCTTGCGCCTAACAGGCAGCGTCGAGCTGTATACTCCCCAGGGAGCTGAGAAGGTTTCAGGAGTGTTTGCCCGTTGAAACAGGGATAATAATAATAATTGTAAAGCGCTTTGATACCCCGTTGCGGCGTAAAAGCGTTGTACCTGTTAAGGTAACAATATACAAATATAACATGGTTTGAGGGTGGACAGTCGATATTCGCTCCCCGAGGTATTGGAAGTTGACAAACTAGTTCCCGAGGCGAAGCCGAAGGAACTAGTTTGTCAACTTCCAATACTGGTGGGAGCTAATATCGGCTGTCCACCCAAAATAGACCATATTATATTTGTTTTACTATACTTCATACCTATCCAGTTGCCGATATTTTTTTTATATATGCACCTAAAACAAAATTCGGGGAAAATTGTACAGCTCACCAAAAGAATATTGTTGCTCAACTTCAATTACTAGTTTGGTTCGTTTGCAATATAATACAGTTACTACAGTTGTAAATACAGTTGTTTGTGTACAACTTTCTTTTGTACCGGAGACATTTTTACACAGTCCATAATTTTTTTTTTCTTCCAGTATGGCATTATTGAGCTCTGGAAATTAACATTTACGCGAACCGTGCAACCATGCGTCTCTCCTGAGCGATGTTCGCGCGTGCGTACTTCACCCGTGCGACAGTTCCTCGATTGCTCTGTAAAGCGCATGCGTAGTAGACTGTCGCACGGGTAACCGATGCGACAGTCTACTACGCATGGGTTTTTACCCTGTGCGTGAATCCTGGCGCGCGCGTTTGGTAAACAGCAAGAATAACATCTGGCAAGTGATGGTGAATTGACCAGTGACAGTTCGGCTCTCGATCATGAATATGTATGAGGTATAGTAATGATACATGTTAAACATTTGTTTCTTCTGGGGAAAGATGGCCCTGATGGCCACACCTCCAACCTTCATTGGCCAATCAAAACGCTCCACGTGACGCTCGAAGACACTGAAGCCTTATTATACCAAACTGGGACCAACCGAGGGTTTATAAAGGGTGCCAACGCATCTGTTAGCTTCACTCTGCACCTGCATTTTGGCTTGTGACAGTCAACGGTGAAGGAAGACAACTTGTAAACAGCATGGCTTTCGTTCGAGTCTTGTGTTTTGTCCTGTTGGTGGGTTTTGCTGCAGCATGTCAACAACACTCACACTGCCCACCCAAGTGTCCACCGATGTGGACTTTCTACAACGGCAACTGCTACCGGTACTTCGGCACTGGCAAGACCTATGATGAAGCTGAGAGCCACTGCCAGGCGTGCACTGAAGTCGGCCAGGGTCACCTTGCGTCTATAGCCAGCGCCGAGGAAAATAATCTGCTCCTGACGATGTGGAAGTCGGTCCGTACAACTACAACAGGCGGCCTGTGGATCGGTTTGAATGACCAGGCAGAGGAAGGGAAGTTCATCTGGACAGATGGATCAGCGGTTACCTTCACCGACTGGGCTACAACCCAGCCCGACAATTATCAAAACGCTGAGGACTGTGCTCACATGCGGCATGAGCTAGATGGCGATGACAGATGGAATGACATCGCATGCAACAGAGAGTTCGCCTACGTGTGCAAGGTGTCAACTACAAATTAAATCGACCCCGCAATGGATGACCACGGAGAGGCGTCAGAACATATTTGCCGCACCAAACCTGCAAAGCCCACAATCGATGGCATCGGCCATGATCTCACCAAACAGTCTCACCAAACTAACACTCACAAACAGAATCACTTCAAAACTTAAAGGTTGAATTTCGTTGTATAGACTGCACTGCTGTCAGGCTATACACGGTGAAAAAGAAATTGTTTTAAGACGTAACCCACTTTGCATCTTCTTGGCTGTAGCGTTTACGGACCTGCATGTTTTCGAGTTTAACAAGTAGTATTTAGCCTTTACTCGTTTTACCAGGTGTCCAGGTTTAGTATTGAGAAGTATGGACGAAGAACATACGCAACGGTGAACTAATCAGCTGTTGTACTTTAAAAAGGTAGGGTAAATCAAATATTCATTTTGTGCATTTGGTTTCGTTTAAAGCAATAAAGGTGTTGAAAATGTTAAGACGGAGCTTAACAACTAACCTGATAAAATTTTTAGAGCTTTGAATGATGCTTATTCCGAGAGAAAAAAAATTCTAGGATCTTGGTTTCAAATTCAAAAGTTGCCGAGTCATGTTTTGCATTGGGCCTAAAATCAACGTCCGGGACACGTTCTCATTCAACCAATTGCAGCTACGCGATGTCACACACTGAACTGACAAATAATAGCAACAGAGGGCGCAAGTGCGTCCTGTCAACGTCGGAGCGCACCCATTCACGGCTTCGCCAAATTACAAACCAACTTCTAACGGATATTTCCAAAAATACGTCTTTAGACGCATCTTTGGAAATGACTTTATTTTTTTTTTACATTTTTATTCAAGATGACGGTATGCAAGAAAGAGTGACATTACTATCTTTAAAGCTATAGTCCATCATTTGCAACTATCCGAAAAGTAGCTGGCGTAATTATTGTTGAAAAACATACTTGGTTGAAAGATAGTACGGGGACTAAACACCCTATGAAATTATTCTTTCTGGCAAGCTGTCATTTTGAAGTAATCAACGAAAGAAGGCCTTTCCAACGGTGCTTCTTAAGCTGCACCGTAGGAAAATTTAAATTAGTAGTTCGTTTTGTTATTCAGCGAAGCGCGCGCAAGCATTGGCACGACGCACACGCACCCCCGGTTGCCGTAATTCGTCGGATCAGTGCGCGACATCGCGTAGCTGCATTCGGCTCAGCGAGAACGTGTCTCGGACGCTGAATTCAGGCGCAATTCAAAACATGATTGAGCAACTTTTGATTTGAAATTGAGATGCTAGAATGCTGTTTTTCTCAGAATATACAGCTGAAGCTGAGCTGAAACTTTATCAGGTTAGTTGTTAGTACCCTTCTTTAGATTTTGAGCACTTTTGTTGCCTCAAACGAACAAAATGCACAAATTACAAATGATGGACTATAACTTTAAACAAAGTAAGTTTTTCAACATTAATTTGGTCATACGTGTCCGTTACCTTCTGGATAGCTGCAAATGATCTACTCTTACCTTTAATACCAATGACATTATCTCCATAAAGCAAGGAACCAACGAACTGTGATGTGTCTCGGAACTACAACACACAAAGAATCATTCAATTCAAAATCCGATTCCTCATGTTACTGACTCCGACAGAAATAGCAAGCTGACTTTACTGAACACCTTATTTAAAAAATTTAATTCATTTACTGTTTAATTTATGTCTTTTTTTCTGTTTAATGTTCAATTTCTTCTTAATTTCTTGTTGAAATTATCTCCAGGATATTTTTTTTTTGCAGTTTCTATAACATTTCTTGTTCGTGACGTCAAAGTACAACAAGAAAACTCAAAAGCTGAGATGTTGATGGACTTTTTCAAAGCAAATTGCTTCCTAAAATCAAACAAATCCAGTTAATTTTACATGACACAGACTAAACTAGGGTTAATCTGTTGAACGCGTATGATAAGAAGTGATGTTAATTGACGGTGCTTGACGTTCCCACCAACAAATTATCACTGTAACGATGACAGAAAATGTTGAATTGATTTCGGAAAATTTGAAATTGCAAATTTTACATTTCCCTTCATCGTTAGCCTCGATTGCAAACTCTCAAAACAATTTCATTTTTGGGGGTTAATTTGTACATTTTACTTTTTGTTTTGTCATTCTTTAAGTTTGTTTAATCTTATTTTCTTTGGTTTAATTTTCGTTGTCATCTTGCATGACTGATCTTCTCTTTCATCCTGAATTATCGTAGATTAAAGATGTCGCATGAAACGTTGTGTTGTTTGGAGTGATTTTTTTATATTATTTTGAATCGAAAATGTCGTTATATGGGCACAAGTTATCAACAACTGTCTCTTGACGTCGTTCCTGAAAGAAAGACTGGTTAGATGAACAAACACATAGCCTCACAGTACAACCGAGGTCAAACGTCTAGTAATATTAGTGGGGCAGATAAGGGAAACATTTGGGGAATTGTGCCTTTAACAATGCAAGCATGGTATTGGCGCGCAATCAGAGTATGTCACGAGAAAGATATTTGGCTATAGGGCCATCGAAGATTTCTCCATTGAAAATGAAATACATGTAGAACAACAAGCCATTCTCAAAGTTTAAAGGTGTCGCTAAATTTCTACGGGACGTTTAAATAAAAGGCCACTCGCGAAAACAGGCTTTTCGTGAAAAAAAAAATAGAGAGAATAGGACTCGTGCCAAATGGCATTTTATGTTGCGTGCGCTAATCCTGGTGACTTATTGGACTGTACTTTTTCTGTGGTTTCCAAATTTCCAGTGGGGGCGACAGGTGGGGAGGGGGCAGTGACGACCATTTTTTTTTGGGGGGGGGGGGTAGGCCCTGGTGTTGACAGCAATCGAGCAATAGACAGCAGTTGAGACTGGGTCACAGTTTTTAAATTCAACTCTACTTCGCGCAGGATTGCGTAAAGTGTGCTGAATATAAAAGGACACGCAGATTCAGTTCGTCATGGAGCTTTCGGCCGGTTCCGTTACATGGATGACACTTGGATTCCCCCCCCCCCTTCCGCCCGCGGGACTCCCTCCCCCCCCCCCCCCCCCAGATACAAATAAGTAAAAGGCTGTCCGCATATCGCGCATCAGATAATTTACAGGGCCTTAACAAATAATTGTTTTTTTAAGGTACTCCTTGAAAATGCACTTTTGTGTCCCATTTCACCTTATTTTCAATTTTTGGTGGTTTTTTTATGCTCATCATGAAAATGTTCATATCTAGGAGCAAAAGTGTGATGTCATTCTGGGCAGATCAAAGCCTCAGTGTTACTGCCATTTCAGCACAAACAGTCGTCCGCATTTTGGATAATTTGCTTTTGCACGTTTTTCTTTGCTGTGGTGATTCGATTGTTGTGTTAGTGCATGGCAGTAATCCAGGTAGCAAATTTTATCAAAAATGTTTCCATGAGCAAGAAAGTTGGGTTCACAATTTGAACAGAAAACCCCGAAGCTTAGCGTTGTTTTCCTAAAATGCAATCAAAGCAACAGCACCATCAGTTGTCCGGAAAAGTATTTCTTAAGAAACGTTTGAAGAAGTGCACTTACCAATACATTTAAATAAGACAAGAAATGTAAATTTTAAAGGAGTAGAAAGCTGCATATACATGCAATGCGGTCTTAATACAAATTCATCTCATAGACCCTTTTAATGTAAATAATCCAACAAACAACCAGATTTATTTTTTCCCTTTTTTAAAATATTGTTATTACTGATGCACACCTTAGTGCGGTGATACCGCCCTCATTCCTACAACTGTACTCCTAATCTACAGATATTGTGAAGAGCGCCCTCTCAACGGCAACAATTGGACAGCAATAACAACCTCGTCCCCAGGGTGTCAAGCAGTACGCGCCCACCACTACACGCTCTCTCATTGGAAATGCGGTTGGAAATAAAGTAAGAACTGGGGACGAGGTTGACAGCAATAGATATAAAAATACTCAAACGAACATGTCTTGTAACTGGACTCCGATTATTATAAATGTACGTAAGTTAGTGCAGAGAGCGTTAACATGACGACAGGTATTGGACTATAAAGGACTATTCTATTCTGTGACAGGAGGTTCACGCTTTTAGAAAAAAGTCTTATTATATACTTTTAAAGTGCATTCTCTTTTGAAAGAAAGTGTAAGTCATTTTATATTTCATTATTTTCTCTAATGTTCATTTCATATTAGTAACTGATATTTTTTAAAGAAAATTGAATTCCCATAATTCCCTTTTTTTCCAGTATGTAAAATGTAGCGGTCCAATAACAACATGCATGCGGCACTTGCATGCTCGCCGCGCCGCGGGATTTATGTATTTCGTCAATCACAACATGAATCATGTCGACGATGAGTTGATATTTTTGTAAGTAAAAACAAATCAAATTTCATACCTAGACATCACTTGACACCCTGTGCACAAACCCTATGAGACTGGTCTGAACTATTCCAATTGTTTAATTCAACTTCAAGGCTCTGGCTCAGGACACGCTGGAGGATTGTTTGGATTGAAAAAGGGAAAGTAATTAACGTCTGAGATTCCCTATGCTATAGTAGGCCTATAGTACACATACAGATTACAGGATTGACCTACCGAACATTTGATAATATTTTTTTTTTTCTGCAGACATAATTAGTCCAAGATGGTGACCCCATTTGTGGAAGGCTGGGACTTTGTGCAGACACTGGGGGAGGGGGCATACGGAGAGTAAGTCAGGAACTGTTCGCGTCTCACAGACAGTCATAAACTTAGCCCCATAAATGTGGCCTATTTACTGGACTGCCTCCGTAAACATAGGCCACACATCCACATGTACAAAAATCGTGTCGACGGAGCCAAATTTTGATTTTCACATTTAGGCTTAGTTTTTAGGTTTTTTTTGCTTTAGAAGCATACTCACCCTCTTTATAGGCTAATCAGAAAGTGCTGCCTTTTTCAGATGTATATTTTTCGTGAAATTTCCAGATTCATTTTTACACGTTGCGTATCAAAATTTCAACATGAAATTTCACAAAAATTAGACATCTGAAATAGGCAGCACTTTCTGATTAGCCTGTAAAGAGGGTGAGTATGCTTCTAAAGCAAAAAAACCCTTCAAACTAAGCCTAAATGTGAAAATCAAAATTTGGCTCCGTCGACACGATTTTTGTACATGTGGATGTGTGGCCTATGTTTACGGAGGCAGTCCAGTAAATAGGCCACATTTATGGGGCTATCATAAACTATTTTGTTTTCATTTGTATTTTGTATTTAAATCTTTCAAGAAAGGAAAGTTTTGCAGTGTCTCTGCATGGAAAGTATGTCTTCAATATCTCACCATGGTGCTTTACATACCATGCCTGTAAATTGTGAATGCATAAGGACATTTATCTTCAAGTAAACTTGAATCCTTGATCCTGATTGGTCGATCCATGGCAACAAGTCGTGCTACATATAACCAGTTTTTCTGCACTCGCGCTCGTGGAACACGGAATAATGTAGTGCGTCTGTGTTCTACATATAACCATGTACTAGCACGGCCACGGTCCATACCGCACTCCGCGTGTTGCGCTATTCCAAGATGCGCGCACCATTCCGTACAAACACAAACGTGTATAGGATAAGGCCCTGAAGTTTGTGTACAGCGTGCGTTTCATCTTTATTGTGCGTCAAGTTTGCTTGAAGATAAATTTGTTATCAGGCTCACGTTCATGGAACACGGAATATAGTGCATCTGGGCAATTCTTTGGTAACGGAATTACGGAATTTTGTCACTTTGTCAAGGATTATTCTTTCCCAAGAAAATATGTTCTATGCTAGGCAACTAATCTAAACATGGAAAGGGAGCCAAGACCCAATAGAATTGATTGACCGCTAAAAAAAAAAAAATCCCAAAAGATTTCCCTTTAAGGGGCGAAGCTTATTATCCGTAATGGAATTACGGACAGAGGACAAGCATATTTGAGTTCTCGCATAAATTAATAAAACTCTCTGAAGTTTGGAAATTTTAAGATTGGACACTACCTGTTATTTGTAGAGTTCAGGGGTGTTGTTAACTACAATGCAGAACAAAGTTGAAAAAATAATCACTCTTTTCATAATTTGCATTTTAATCACGGTAACGGAATTACGCCTGGGCGGTAACGGAATTACGCCATAGGTTTACATGTAATAGGTAAATGCAATACATTAACATTGAATTCAACATAAACTCATCACAATACAAATTTAAGAAGTTTATAAAATGCCACAAGGGGAAAGCTAAGTGAAAATTAGCAGATCAAAATGTAAATGTAGGCCTAAACATGTCTGGGCTTCATTTTTTAGGTCAAAGGTCAAGGTCAAATGAAAGCAGTCTGGTGATGGCTGCATTGCCTGTTAGCAATGTATATTTTTTTTTACCGAAAATCGAATTTTACTATGAACATTTGTATTATCGTATTTCACTAGTTTATCCTGGAAAATACAATAAAACTGCACTGGTTGGCATCTCTAAGCAAGGGAAGATGTTAAGTTATGCCAAATAGAACATGTAGAAGTACAAGTACAGTCTGGTACTCAACTTTCATATACTTGTTGTCGAATATATTTTCTTTGGCAACACATATTTAAAGGGAATGTACATCATTGGCTTTTGCTGTAATTTTCAGAAGTGAACTATTTGAGGGGTTAGTATAATAGCTCAAATATTGTTACACTGACATGTTTGAAGTTTTGTGTTCGAAAATGCTGGAAAAAAAAAAAAAAAAAAAAACTGTTCAAGTAGTCTGGTTCCTTGACTCCACTAAAGGTAAAATTGGTCAATTTATAAATGCCTGAAAATTGGAGGGTAAGGGAACCAGACTAGCTGGCCTGCACCCGTTCATGAACATGTAACAAATACCCGGTAGCAAACAAAATTTGGACTGGAAAGAGTGTAAAGTTGGAGCAGTAGTTGAAAATAGTTAGGTTTTTCCAACGGTGGTCGGCCGACCACCGTTGGAAATGTATACAAAAACATCATTTTCTTGAAAATTACTTCATACCAGGTGCCATAATTTTACAGGATGCTTAAGACTGTCATTTACCAACATCCTAGTAAGGTATTTCGTAAAAACTTGGTAGTTTTATTTTCTGATGTTTGCAAATGTTGTATTTCCCTTTAAGCATCTAAACAACTATTAGCATTTTTTAAATAGTTAAAAAGAAAAAGTAAAAGTAAAAAATATCAATGGAACACCTGATTATTTTTAATTGTATAATAGAAAATTAAAGAGGGAAATTTTAACAAGTAATTTAGTATTTAAAGTTATTGTCCAAGGTTACATGCAAATCTCCTATTTAATATGTCATGTACATAATCTGGAGGAAATGTGCATACTTTGTGCATGCGTAATTCCGTTACCGTAATTCCGTTACCGTTTCGTAATTCCGTTACCACTTGGAAAAATGCCAAGAAATTACTATTTTAAAGTTTTTATTTTTCATTTATGTTTGTAGTAGGGTCTTTTCTCAACATACATGATTTGAAGAAAAAAAACAAGAAAATTTGTGATATAAGTAACTTTTGCCATTTTTTCGGTAACGGAATTACGTGCTAATTTTGACATTTTTAAATGAAGGCCTACACTATATATATATATATATATATTTATATTTAAATTTTTTTTAATGACCCTGAGTAATGTTAGTAACTTGTAACATCATAAAATAAATCAAATCTTTTCCCTATAATTCAGAAAGTAATACATACACAAAATTTAATTTTTTTACCAAATCTGAACGTTTTTAATCATAAATTGCAAAAATCACTGTTTTTACCAGAAATATGTATTTTTTTTCAATTTCGTTTTTTGAACTGAATTCCCCATTTAATTGAGGTCTGGAAAAAGTACAAAAAAGGTTTAATATGTAAATATTTATTTTTGACATTTTTTGCTCTCCCATGGAGAATTGCCCATCTGTGTTCCACATACCACTCGGCCTTCGGCCTCGTGTTTTGTGGGACACAGACGCAGGAAAGATTTCCATAGGCCTATACGAAGTTCACTCAACACCCTGTGTAAAAACCCTATGAGATTGGACTGAAAAATGTTAAGTGTTTTCTAAGAAAATGCTTGTATTTTCTCACTGCTCAAATTGACTTTGATGACATGAAATTGCTATCTGGGGGCTTGTTAGTCAATACAGAGGAAAATTAGTGAACTTCGTATATGGAAATCTTTCCCAGACGCACTATATTATTCCGTATTCCACTCGCGCTCGCAGGATAACTTATAGTATGTCAATTTGTGAATGTGAAGACATATGCAAGAATCTAGACATACGATCAGTGCAGGGCTCGATTTACCCGGGTGCACGCATGCACCAGTGCATGTAGATTTTTGCTTGTGCACGTAGCTATTTTACTGAGCATGCACGACGTGCATGTAACTTTTTTAGCCACCAAAATACTCATTTCATGCATATACCAGTGAGTGAGAATAAGAATAAAGTTTGTTGAATCGAGACCAGATAGTGTACATACGTGTTTACTGTTATTTCTTTTATAAATCCATAAATTATTCCTCGCACCATGCTCGCACAGTCGCAGCAGATTCAGAGTACGAGGTAAAATTTAGCAAAATTGTATGTTTGCATTTAATGGATAATGCTTAATGTGTTGTGTCTCCCCAGGGTGAAGCTTGCGGTCAATCGTAGCACACAGGAGGCTGTAGCTGTCAAGATACTCAGTCTGGACAAAGCCAAAGGGGCCATAGAGAATGTCCGCAAAGAGGTACCTGTAAATCCCATCGCCAGAAGTCTTGTAGTTGATGAGTGCATCACAAGTCCTTCTAGTCTCCCAGGTCAATCACAACTTCATTCAGTCACAGCTAAATCACCGTGGTAAGCGCATTCGGTTGTAATTTATTCACTCGCGCTTGCATTCACTCACGGTTGCTTGTCACCAGAATTTTAAAGTGACTTGTGATCTACATGTTGCTGGACGTATGATGGACTTGTGACTGACTTGTGATTGACTGTACAACAACAGTAAATATCCAGACTGTTTTGTGTGTTCAGTTAAAATTAGTTTGCACTTTAACCTGTCTAGGATGTTATACTTTTTTCGATATCTTGCCGGCCCGCTGGTATTCACACTGAGGGCGCATTCGTGTTGTACAGGTAGCCCAGTGTGATCAGCCGAGCGTAGCCATCAATAATGAGCGCACTTACACTGAACAAAAGCTTGTGTACTGTGCTCACATTTTTTTATTCAACCCAAAACAGAAAGTGGTGTCACTGAATAGATTTTACTTTTCATGACTAAGGAAAGTTCACCCAACTTTCCCTCATAGAAAATACACCATTCAATGCAAATCTTGTATCAAGTGCAATTGCATGATGAATGAAATGTGTACGTTCGGGAATGCGGCTCTAGCTGTCTTCCGGCACATAGCCTTTCCTCAAGCCGCGGGTATAGCCGTAGCTATCAGCCGGTGAGGAGGGATTACGAATTGAAAGTGCAGGGTGTATTGGGTCTTAAACCTGTCTCGGTATCTCCCACGGCAGACATGGAGTCTGAGTCTGGGCAGAGCAAAGTAAGCTGATTGACTAGTGACATGGGGTCAATCTAATTTAAATATAACTGTGTGAACGAATAGGGCACTAGATGCATTGTGAGGTGTTAGTGTGCTGGAGTAGGCCAGTCAGACTGTATAGAAGTATGCATCATCAAGGCTCGCAACCAATAAGATTTCAAAAACTTCAAAGGTGTTTTCCTGTTCTCATATACATTCTTGAAATAAATTCTGGACTCTAGACTCTGTCTGTATTCGCTGGTGTTTGGAAAAGGGATGGCACTATCCCATTCAGTGACACCTCTTCGCTGGTGACCTTTTGATCTTTGCCCTCTGCCCTCTACAGGTCTGCGTTCACAGGATGATGAACGACGATCACATTGTTCGCTTCTACGGCCAACGCAAAGAAGGCAACATTCAGTATCTCTTCCTGGAGTACATGAGCGGGGGAGAGCTCTTTGATAGAATTGGTAAGGTTTTCCTGGAGTATATGAACGTGAATATTTTACCATAAATCACCAACAGCCTGTTGCCTTGGATGAACCGAAACTGCTGGTGTTACGCGTTTGGGTCCAAATTGTTGAGTGACTCACCCATACAATTGAAATAATTTGTTTTCTCTTGCAGAGCCTGATATTGGTATGCCAGGCAAGCAGGCCCATCGGTACTTTGTTCAACTAATGGCCGGCGTTGAGTATTTACACAAGAAGGGTGTGACCCATCGAGATCTGAAGCCAGAAAACTTACTTCTAGATGATAACGGTAAGATGAACATCTTTGAGATTTTTACAATTTGTTGTACTTTGAAATGTTGTTATGAGCTTTTCCAAGTGTTAACACACACTATTACAGGCACTTGTTCAATGGGGCTAGCTCCCACTGTCTCAGAATTGATGGCCCAATGCGTGACATCATCACTCTGTGTGTTCTTCTCATATGTGATATGACAAAATGGCAATGGAACTACGTATGGAAGCCAATAAGCCAGTTCGGTTTCTCGATGAAGCAGTCAAAGGTCATTCGGGATAAAATCGTTGACGTGATGACATGCGATGTTACGCGGACGCCCATTCTGCTTGTAATAAACACGCGAGCGTCGTGCGCCCGTCGCTGTGCGCATTCATGCGCCTTCGATGAGTGTTTGATTATCCCAAATGACTTGTGTCCCATATCATTGTGCGCATGCCAAACTGGCTTTATATTGACATGGGATATGTACCTATGAATTTACTGTGTTTTCGCTGAAAATTTCTTTCGATTTAATAATGATATCAACCTCTCATTCTTAATTTAATAATGTACCAGATATGTCTGATTGCAGTTGGAAGCTTTTAAGAGTGAAGTTTTCATGGCGTTTTTTCGCTCATTTTTGTGACATAAATCATGACTCTGCTTCCTCTGCAGCTGTACGTACACGCATAAAATTGGCATAGTGCCAAACTTTTCATTTGAACACGACCTCGCGTATGCTTACATGTATCAGTCATCATCATACGGATACATGACACTTTTTTCCCCGCATGTCGATATTGTCTAATGTTCTCGTCTTTGTAACTTGTTTCCAGATAACCTAAAGATCTCAGATTTTGGTCTAGCCACCGTCTTCCGGCACCAGGGCAAAGAGCGTCTGATGGCCAAGTGTTGCGGGACGCCTCCCTACGTCGCTCCAGAGGTCATGAAGAAGGAGGAGTTTCCTGCCGAGCCGGCCGACGTCTGGTCCTGTGGGATCATTCTTGTGGCCATGCTGGGCGGAGGTTTGTAGCTAAAATCACATGGTCCTTCTGCATCAAGAGCAAGTTAGATCAATGACAAAAGTCAACTAATAGTTGATTTGCAACGTAACTTAGGCCAAGGGCGGATCCAGGTTTGGATCAAGAGGGGTGTTTATCTCCCAGGAAGGGGAGGGGGGGGGGGGTTAGCAGGCATGCAAGTTTTCCTCGGATCCCCTGATTTCCTTGTTTTTTACTTCTCATGAATGCCATTACAAATTGGAAAACACTGTACAAAGTCTTGTGTGGTTTGTAATTCCCTTGTTTTTTTTTTTCTCTAAAAAAGAAGACATATTGGCATGTAAATCGTGACGTAATAAATCGTGACGTAATAAACAGGACTCCCGATGCACAGTAGCATACACGAGTCCTGTTTATTACGTCACGATTTACTGTGTTTTATTTGCTGCCTGCAACGACGACTTTTACACAGTTGCACGTTCGGGTCGAAACTGGACCTGAAAAACAGCTCTCAAAAGTACCTTTTGTCCTCATTTCATGACAGAAACAATAGTCGTTTTTATTTCATCACACCTTAGGCTACATATACCCGAAAAATGACGGAAATGTCTTCGAGCATTCCACAACCTCTTTAATAATCACATGTAATGGACTTCACGACAATTCTGCAATACTCTGGTTTACTACTTTATTTAAAACCATTTTGGTGGTTTCTTCCTAGCTTGGCCTCACAGACCCCCATCCAGTTCACCAACAAGTTCCGGTTCATTCAAGCGTGTCTGCTCAGGCAATGACCTTTCACCCACGTCATCTATCAGAAGGTAAGAGTGCAGAGTATTGTTTGTTGTTTGCCTTTTGCTGTCAAAGTGTCACAAGCGCTGCAACCTTGGAAAACATGTGGCTATAATTTGTGTCTATGTACAGCTTAAGCACAAACTAGTGAAACAAAACAAAAAATATAATAATATAAAAAAGAAAAATGAAAATGTGATTTCAAGAAAACGTTTTTCCGGGAATAAAGATAATGCTACTTAACTCATGATCATGCTGGTAAACACAGCAGCCCAATTTGATTCTTCATCTTAAGCATTTTGGACAAAAGTTTGATACAGAACTGTAATTCAGTCCCAGGCAAGGCTGTTTCATAAATCTCGTGAATGCGAATGCTAAGCGAATTTGACGTCACCAAACATTTACTTTGAAATTTGCTGGAGTTGAAATCTGTTAAGTTTTTGCAAATTCGCAGCACGGAAATATGCCGTGATGTCACAAATTTGCATTCACGTTCACGCTCACGCTGGGCACTTTCAATCACAAGTCTTCCAAATCTCAAGGCGATGACCATCTATTCATTTGAAATGCTCTTTGTCCTCATTCATCCCTTGTTAATTGTTACTTCATCTTTCTGGTAAAAAAGCAACTCACAATTATTCCGCTTGCAGTTTTGAACAGAAAACCTTTGACCAATAGACCATTATCATGTTGCAGTCATTTGGATTTTTCCAATTCAAATCAATGTAACCAAAGCAAAGCTGGGAGGAAAAATAGTCTGGTACCTTTGTGCACCAAAACATTATCATTCAGTACGTTATTGGGTACAGGGAACATGACTGAAAATGGTGGCAGCATGATAAAGGTCTATAGTCATAACTGTTTTCCAGTCCTTCCTCCCTTTTCATGTCTTCCCCGTTCGTCAAAACAAAACAGAGAGAACTCTGCCACGTTCTCCAGCTCCCAGCCCATACCACACGCCGTCCATGACACGCCTGCACCAGAAACCACCAAAGAATCCGTGGAGAAGTTAATCCTCGGCGTCAGCTTCTCACAGCCGGTCCACATTGACTCCTTGCTGCTGAGTAGTCAGATACAGTCAACGCCCGGTAGCTCACAGGTGAGTCAACAACTTGGCTGGATATCCCTCAAGAACGGACAGTCCAGGTTCAGGTGGATTTTTAGCCCTCTCCTTTCTAGGTCATCTTTTGTCGATAAGAAACCACCCCCCTGCTGCTAGCCATAGGTGACTTAAGTTGATCCATCCCAATGGATATCCCCCAGGAATGAACAGTCCAGGTTTAGTTGGATTTTTAACCCTATCCTTACTATGGACGACTTTTGTCGACAAGAAACCACCCCCTGCTGCTGTCCATAGATGACTTAAGTTGACCAGGAAACCACACGCCAAACACCCACAACACAGATGTAATTCACTGCTTTTCAACAAGCTAGCATGTTTTTATGTTTTGCTGACCATACATCAACCTTACATAGGCTGCTAGAGTGTTTTCAGATTGTTCTATTTTTTTAGTTTCTTCAAGGTAATGTTACAAAAACTTGAGATAAATGCTTCAGAAGTATCCATGCACGATTTCAGGTATGGAGTGCCATTTTGTCTTGTGTTGAAATGGCTTTCAGTTTGATAAATGAAAACAGAGCAAAAAATAGACATAAAGAGTTAAGTTCAAGACCAAATTTTAATCACAACCTTTTGTATTCAAATAGTACCACTTCATTCAGGCTGACCATATCAAACTTATAGTCTCTGGGGATAAAGTTAAGATTCCAAGCTTTAAGATGGTTTAATAATAATGGCGGTGCATGTACGTGTCTCTGTGCCAATGCTAGAGCCTCGCGAAAAAAAATGCCAGTATTTTAGGACGCGCTCTATTTTGGTTTCCTCACAATAGTAAAAAGGTTAAAGACCAACACAAGCAGCAATATATTTTTTGGTTAGTTTCTATAATGACTTTGTTTTTGTTCTATCCCATTGTCCCGACAGACACCTATGCAGAGACTAGTTAAGCGCATGACCAGGGTTTTCACCAAACTTAGCCCCGACGAAACCATCAAGAAACTCACCGCCGTACTAGAGAAGATGGGCTACAGCTGGAAAACGACAACAGCAAGACAGGTCAGATATGTTAGCCTGTATAACTAAAATAATACTTATTGGACAATGCCTGCTGAGTGGGGAGTGTGGCCTAGTTGTTAGGGTTCGTGACTCATGATCGGATGGCGAGGGGTTCGAAGAGGGGGGCAAAGGGGTCCATGCCCCCCCCCCCCCCAAAAAAAAACGAAATCAATTTTTTTTTAATGTGTCATCGCAATAAAGGCAGGCAATGCGTACACCACCATCTTTTCCTCAAAAAACATTAATTAAACTGGTCAGAAATTGCCTCAGATCGCACCACAGAGCATCTCGAATCCAAAAATTTTAGGGGCCCTTAAGTGGGCCCCGAACCCCACGCCGTAATTATTTTGACCCACTTTTTGGGGGGACCAAAAAAAAATGTGTTCTGGATCCGCCCTTGCTCGTGACAGACTCTTTTTGTACTGCCTAAAGACAGATTCCGATTCCAAATTTGGAATTGATTCTATTCGGCCCTGACCTGGAATCGCACAGATAGACTTGTTGATTTTGTGTGACTGAGTACTTTTTGTGTTTTTGTTTGACACAGGTCACAATCACATCTCTGGATCGACGAAAGAACCCGCTGATCTTCAAAACTCACCTGCACGAGATGGACGACAAAGTACTTGTAGACTTCAGACTATCAAAGGTAATACATTCACGGTTCCGGTCTTTAATATGTCACTGGAGTGCCTCTATTTCAACTTGGGCGCCGATTTTGTATTTTTAGTAGCCTATACAGGGTGAGAACCCCCCCCCCCCCCCCCCAAAAAAAAAGTAGAATATGAAACCAAGATCTCTCGATTCAGGACAGTAGTTTTTGATGCAGAGCTTTTTTTGTGAACCACATATAAATGGCCATGATTTAGCACCTGGGAAACCTTTGGTTATGCATATTTGCGGGAAATAGGATTGCGCGTTTATTAACAAACATATTTTGCAACACAACCAGGAGAATTGTGTGGTATGGTTCATGTGCTGAACATTGCTTTAATGTTTACTTTCAATTAAAGGGAACCTAGTCAGTTTCCCATCATGGTTGTTTTTGTTGGAAATTTTCCCAAAGTCTAATTCGAAACACTGAATCGTCTTTATTTCCAAAACCTTCTTTCACTTTTTAGGGTGATGGTATCGAGTTCAAGCGACACTTCCTCAAGATAAAAGGAAAGCTGGCGCACATCACCACCAAAGTACCCCTGCTCTCCCCTTTTGTCTGAATGGTCTGACCCAGCTGGGTCAGAGGTCACAACACTCAGCATTTCCCAATTGAGGGCAGCAGTATTAATACCAACTCTTCCATTAATTATGCAGGTAGTTTTGTATCTCTATTTTTGTCAGGGTTTTATGCGATCATGAATTCCTACAATCAGCTTGTTCCACAATCCACAGTGCCTGAAAAAAAATCTCGCAATCTTTAGAACTTCAGGAATTGTGGCGTTTTACTCACGATCAGGTGGTGATTCATTGTTAACGACGTCAACTTGTCGTCAAATTTGGCAGGCATGTTGTTTGAGAAACTTGAGTTATTTCAATTCAAACTTGGCACAGTTACACTGCATGCGAATCGCATGGGTGCCACTGCCAATTTACACGTGTCCAGAGATAACCAATTTTTTTTTTGGACAATGCCTTCGGTTGCTTGACTGCCAATTTGTGTGTTTGCTAAGTTTAGCATGATGATAAATCTCCAGATACCTTTCAATCTGCATTTTTTCCCCGTCGTTTTCCTGATTCAAGATGAATAAACCAACCATTCTATCAAATTGAATTTTCCATGATAGTCAACACACAAGCTTTGACAAGTTAGGAGGAGAGAATTGACCAGAAAATGTTGATCAACTTACTTTCGTTTCAATAAATGAATCAGAAGCAACATTTATAATTATGATCCTGTATTTTAAGGTTTACACTTAACACAAGAGAGTGTTTTCCCCCATATTTTATCAAGGTATAATGTATTATATAAACTGATGCTTTGAATGCACTGCATACCTTACAAAAGCGTCATAGAAAACAGCAGTTACAAGTGTTGAGCCGGATATATACTATTATTGAAGGCAAGTTGTCAAAAGTCCATCACAAGCCAATCAATGTCAATGTTGCCTATTTTTTTTAATATGAAATGTACGTTTTTGAGGTTTTGGTTCCACTTCTTTTGACTCACTAGTAGATCTGACTTGTGAGGACCTGCTGACGTCAACTCTACTGCTATTTCATGTTCCTTCGGTTGTGTAACCTGTTCTCTAAATATCTAGCAGCCAAATAATGAGTTCCTTGCTAATGTTCAGCTTATCTGGAACCGGAAACAGTTAATTATATTCTCGTCTTCTTCACTGTGCCCAACAAAAATGATTTGATTTTCATGTGTACAATTTCTTTAATCTTTTGTACCGATCATCACGTTTGCTAACGTTTTGCATTTCAAGATATATTTTTGTAATCTTAAAAGAAGCTGTTCGAAAAAAAAACACATTGTTACAAAGTTAATTAAAGATCCACTGGAAAAAAAATATTCCTTGAGTTTTTTGAAAAAATATCTTTGTCTAGCATTCTGATTGAGTGAATTTCTCAGCTTAAAATGTAGGTCCTGTGAATATTACACAAATATTGACTGCTTCGAGTGGTGTAGTAAAACTAGCCTCCCGAGGTGATCCATGAAGCATTCTATAGAATGCTCCATGGATGACCGAGGGAGGCTAGTTTTACTACTTGGATAAAGCAGTCAATATGTGTTGACATCTCTCCCACAGATTCTGCTTGATTTTAAGCGATAACTGATTAACTTAATCTGAATACAATTAAAAATTATTTCTATTTGAATACGAAATTAGTTACAAATTTACCTGCACTTTTCCAAACTACCCCTTCACGAAATGTTTGAACCCAGCTCTGTAGCGCTAGCGCTTGGGAACAATACGCGCAACGCGCAAAGCACACACCTGTATGCATAATGCATTTGCACCATAGACATCTAATAATTAGATGTACATGTATAATTATGATACAGTACTTTGGTTGCTACGCTACGGGTATAGTACATTTGGCCGTGCACAGCAAGACAGCAAACAGAGAATGCCATGGGACGCGCTCTGTGTTGTTTTGTCACTTGTACTTTGTAGTTAAATTCGGTGCCTATGTAACTCAGAAAAGGGACACAGTCGGAACTCGCAACATTAAATAAATCTAAACTAAAATTCAATCTAACCAAAAAAGGGTGAGGAGAAAACGCAGAATAATTGAAAAACGTGGACAGGGAAAACAAATTATATTTCTGCGAAACGAGCCAAAGAAAACTATTTATTTGAAGTTAACCAAACCCAAACAAAAGAAAATGATTTAAAGTAAGAGCTAATACTAAAATTAATCAAGATACGAGTTACAAGTTAAAGCAAATACAGTTTGCAAGAAACAGTAACAAAAAAATACCACAATGGGGCATTAACAATCGGGCATTAACAACCTACATAAAAGAACCAAAAAAGAACAAAGGTTTAAGATCAATGTATATACATGGAGTAAATTTCTTAACACTAAACTATGTCTTTAACATTATCGTTAAATTATCTAAACTCCTACAAAATAAAAGGAAAATCCATTTGCTGAAAGTTAACTCAATCAAAATATTTACGTAATGTACAACACCTTGACCTTCCCTGTTTATCTTTCTTAGACAAGTCAATTTAAATTGATAAGAATGCTACATACACCAGTTCACTTAGGATACTGTACCTCTGGAAATCAAAGTGTTCTCCAAATTGATGTATCGTGTCTTGTACCGTGCTACCTGCTTCATAAAATGTTCTGACCATAAATGCCTATTTGACAGCAATAAACTGTGGCCTTGCCATGGCTACTTTGAAATGCTGTGTCTAGCAGTGTGCTGGCCTTTAATAACTATCCCTTAAAAATAGCAGGAATATCAACATTGTGTTTGTTGTGGTTTTTTTTTTGGGGTAGTTCCAAATAATTGTCTGGATCACTTTTTAATGCATTATTTAATATAAGTGAAACTTGTACTGACTGTGGTCAATACCCAGACCGAAGGATGGCTGAATGCGGGGAAAAAACCTGGTAATCTTTCCCGTTATTGTGGGAAACAAGGACATATCACATTTCCTGATTGTCAGTTGTGCATTCAGGGCTATTCGTGATTACATACATTTCCATCAATATTTTTAACATGTTTCAAGCGTTATGTATGGTCACGGTGTATTTGAATATACAAGGGTTATAATATCTACATTAATATATCAAAATATACAACAAAATATCCAATGTTTTTGTTATCTCCCAAGTATTCGTCTATACTGAGTTATTTTATAACAATTTGACTTATTACGTTTTCGTGGTTTTTTTTTTAAATTAAAACCCTCTAAGACTTAACTAGACTTCAACTTGTGTGTGCATATTCTATCTGCAGTAAGCATAATTCACTTTCCCTTTACGGTCATCATAGTGACGGACAAGCCGCAATCAATGAACATTCACCGGGTAATATGTTCTTTTCGTGACATGAGCATCGACATTCAGACCGCAACTTGAATGTGGGAGGGTGTGATTTAGGGGAGGTGCGATTAGGAAATCATACATGAGTAACTTCAAGTAACCGTTCACGACGACGATGTCTTTCAAATTTTAATGGTGTGTTGGGAATATCTAATGAATTTGGAAGCAATGAGAGACGTGAAGAATCGTCAACTGAGGTAGTGCGCATTATTAAACCGCTAATTAGCACCTGCACCTTCCGAGTTATTTCAAAAAGAAAATTAAAAAATTAAGGCGGCCTGACGTATCGATGAAGAAGATCTTAAGATCCATACGTTAGGCCGCCTTAAACTTTAACATTTGTATATTTCAGGTCAATCCAGTCAGAAAACATTTTCATTTTATTTTACTGTTATTATTATTATTATTATTATTTATTTTTATTTATTTATATTTAAGTGTTATCCCTAGGCCGCCTGAAGTTCATATTAGGATTTTAAACCAACCAAAAACGCGGGTTAGGGACGGCGGTTTGTATACTGGATGACATCGTTGGCATCACACCTTGTGATATATCTTCACCGAGTACAGGTCAGCCACTGCCAGCTGCTGCCCGTCAGCTGTCAATGTGATTCCACCAGGGTCGTACAGACCCTGGGCCACGCAGCTGACAAACTGACCTGCACAGTTATAGTGGTGTATGTGACCGGTGTTGTAGTACCCTGTGCTCACTGCAATGTAGATACCCGAGCTGTTGCTGCATACACCCCCGCAGTGTTTCACCGGTTTACCGTCGATGGTTGGCTGGATTCTGCTAACAGTCACAGCGTTGCCATTAGAAACCTCCACTTTCTCCACTAGTCCCTGCTTCCAGTCACTGATCACAATCCAACCATTGCTCAGTACAGCCAAGAAGTAAGGTGTTATCTTCACTGGCATGGTGTGTAGGATCTCACCATTCCTAGGATTGTGCTCAGTCAACACCTTTCTCTCCTCATCGCCCGCTATGATGTTACCGTTGGGCATGACAACCACGCTCACGAGCCGCACGACTGTCTTGCCAACCTCATTCTTTGGTACAGTGTGGAAATCAAACTTGTGCGTGGTGTCCCTATGGTAAACCATCATCTTGCCGGGATGAGCACACACCCACTGATTCGATATAGCAACGACGTCATCTGGAAAAACAAAATTAATTCGAATAAGATCATTCAGATAACCGAAAGTGTTTTGAGTAATTACTGCTGTCTAGTAAAAAAAAATGATTAAAATAATTAATATAAATATATCTGATTTTTTGAGAATCAAGTGATCCTGATCCACTACAGACCTTGACATGTTCAACTAACTAGGAGCAATGTTGTTTAAAACGCATTATGAAAAAATAAAGTGTGCATGTCACATAAAGTGTGTATGTCACATGGGGTTATGACCACAGACATATAAACGCATAGACCGCCAGCCGTGCGCGTAAAACCGTGATTTGAAAAAGTATGGGCAAAACGCTTGTTGACAGCGTGCGTAATCGCTCGACGCGCGTTCAATGCAGATACGCTCTTAGTACAGTACACACATTTACATACAGAACATGCATTTTTGAATTAAAAAAAGGCTATTTTACTCACAATCTGGTTGAAAAAAAGTTGTGCACGTTATTGTTTTTTGATCTACCTATTTCATATTCAGTACGCGAGGGATTTTTTTCACAATCGAAAAATAACTTCATGGATTTTTTTTAATGGAATATTTTGGGTGTGTGTAAAATCCCTATACCGGGAGGTGAATTTGCCCATAGTTTGGATTTTAGTCGGGCGCCGCGAAATCACGAAAATAATGCGCGTGTAGTTTCGAATAGGCACCCGTTTCATCAAACTCTTCGTAGCTTACGATGCGTCGCAGCTGCGACGCGTCCTGTGATCCATTTCACGAAACACGTCGTAGGTGCACGCGTCGTAGGTGTATTTATAGCAAAACTCGGTGACTGTTTTATGTATTTAGTCAGCGTACAGTAAATAGTCGTCTGATATTCAACAAAGAGCATTTTATTTTAAAGACATACGTGACCGACTAATCTGGCAATGGCAATGAAAAAAAATGACGTGATGACTTTTTCAAATAGTGTATTCGAATAACTTTTATATATGCAAATTTTGAATTATGTCTGCCTTCGGCTTAATGCTTATCGAAATGTACCCATTCTTTTGCTTTATTAAGATAAACCGAGGAGATGGTTTAGGCGTAATTGCACAACTTCCGATTGACCTTCAAACAAAACAAAGCCACAAGCACTAACCACCAGCTGCAGGACGGTATCCGAGACAGACGAAAATTGAGAACTTTACGGAGGGATGGAATCGACTGTATCATTCACTGAACTGAACATGCGATGTGATAGGCATCAATTTCACAGAGTTTGACTTTAACTGGGTCAATTTTTACTTAAATTTAATGACTGTGATGTGGAACTGTTAACATTGATTGTATGATTTTTATTTTTGGAAAGAAGCCGTGGATTTCAACGCAAATACACTCCCAAGATGACTGTCACATTAGATTTGACATCAGTTTCTGTTGTGAATAAAGCAATAACTTAAGCCCGGTTCATACTTCACGCGAAAGTGAAAGCGAAGTGAAATTCGTGACGTCAACAATCCACCATTGTTGACTTTAATACCAAATTTCGCTTCGCTTTCGCTTTCGCGTGAAGTATGAACCGCAACCTCGTCCCCAGGGCTTACTCTATTTCCAACCGCGTTTCCAATAGTAAACCCTGGATAGGAAACTTTATTCCTGTATCCTGATTGGATACCGCAATTGGCTAGTAATGGATTTTTATCGTGTACTTGGTGTTGTTATTCATAACATGCAGTACGTGTTTTCGAGATCTTTCGTCCACGCCTTTTCGAAAATACTCATTTCCTTTCCAATTTTTTGATATTAATATGAAATTTGATTCTGCATGTTGTCTCGTTAAGATCGTAACAGTTTAATCAAAATGAAATCGTGTTTTCGTAACTCACGCCATGC